TTCCTTCCTTCCTTCCTTCCTTCCTTCCTTCCTTCCTTCCTTCCTTCCTTCCTTCCTTCCTTCCTTCCCCTCCAGGAGAAAAAGGTCTTAATTTCAAGTACTGGAGTGATAAGAATGTGATTCATTTTTGTATGACTGTTTTGTAAGTGAATGGGACATGCACTTCATTTACAGATTCGTGATGAAAACAAATGTTCCGGTTAGATCAAGTGAGATGAAGTAAGGGAATGACCCTTCTCAAACTAAATATATCTACTTGAAAGGAATACATTTTGAATCAAGACTGTTAAGCTTGAGAAGTTGTTATTAAGCCTGCAAGTTAACTATTACATGATGCATTTTTTTTCTTCATACAAGCATTTTGTGAGAATTTATTTCCTGTATTTCTATCCATTCAATTTGATGGAAAAGAAATAGCTTTCAAAATATATTTTCAAAGGAAAATAATATTTAGAGAAAATTCACATGGGTCAGGCATGAACTTCCTGTGCTTAGGTACAAGGGGTATGTGTTCTTGTAAGCATATGGAAGAATTTTGCATCAACATGAAATGATGCTAAATTTCTACCCCTTAAGACATATCCACATTTATCATTTAAGCTTCTTCTGGCTCATGCTCATGACAGCTTGACTCTAGCTGGTTTAAGAACATCCTGTTTGGATTGAGAGACTGACAATAGCTTGCAAAACATTTAATCCAGACTCTGTCCTCCCATTTGACAATTCACCTGCTGCTTTGACCTTCTTTTCCAGTAGAGTGATTACCAATGTGAGTGGGTCTTCCTGAACACACACACACACACACGCACATATGTTTATATGTGGGTGTGCATGTGTAACACAAAGTTAAAATGAATTTATAGTTACAGAACTAAACCATCAAAACGCATATAAATGCAGGTATAACACATAGCTTCAAATCATAATTTCTTATTGCCGTGTGGCTTTTTAATATTTTTTAGAGCTATCTTTACCATGCTGTAATAGCATAGTGGATATAACTCTGGCCTTTTAAATAGAGGTCTGGTGATTCAAAACCCAACAGAAACATTTTTAATTACTTTTTTTTTCCCTGAATGTCCTACTTTTCCCTGTGTTCTTTTTAAATAACTTCAGCAGTGCATCATTTCTTTTTCTTTTTTCTTTTTCACAGTCACTTATAAATGGATTTCATCCTTAACTCCCAAATAAACTGAGTTATTTTGGAACTAGAAGTAAAATCTTTCTTTATTTGGTGACTGGAAAAATAATGTAATAGTGTAGCAGAAAAGGTAGGAAGTTCAGAGAAAGAAAAAGTGTCTGTGTATGTGTGTATCTATCTCCCCCCCCCCATGGGGTTTTAAACGAGCAAACTTCTTTTTAATAAGGCAAGATAATCAGGGAAGTTTAAATATTATATGTAGCCTAAACAAATGTTACAGACATTAGCAAAGGGAGATATACCTCTTGAAAATCTGATTTTCTTTTAAGTATCCACAACTGTTTTGCTTTTCACCAGCATGGGGTGAAGTTCACAGGAAAACTGGATTTCTGATGAAAGATGTAAACATTGAGAAATATTTCAAGGAGATGGATTTCTTTGGGTTTTTTTAAATTACTTTATTCTATTTTTATGTCTCCTATTCCCCAAAAAGCTCTAAACAACTATCTCCCTGTAAAATAAAACATTGATAAATAAGAAGAAAAAGACACAAAAATACATAAAAGTATAACTCAAAATTAAAAAAATAAATAAAACCAGCAAAATGCAGCAATCATGCACTTGTATCACAGCTACCAATTACAACATCTCCTTCTTCTGT